CCTCCCTGCCACGGGCTGCCAGCGGTGCCGATAAATGGAAGGAAATAAATGCAAGTGGGGTTTTCCTTACCCTTCTGGGAGTGAGGAGGAGCTCAGCAGGAGCAGGTGGGAAGTCCTGGGTCACCACCGAGAACCTGCAGCCGCCTCCCAGGACAAAAGTGCCGGTGTGAAGTTGTTTAATGCTGAGAAAACGACTTATTTATGGCAGAGCTTTGAAGCCATTAAACTCCAGATGCTCGTCAGCTTCACAGAAGAGCGGAAGAAAGGCAGGAGGTGTTGCAGGTTTTCTGGAAAACACCTGGAGCAGGATTTCCCTGAAGTGAAAGCATGAGGAGTGGGACCAGCTTGAAGAATGAACCAGATTTTCTCTTTCTTTTTTGGGATTCCCGTGTGCCAGCCAAAGTGCTCCATGCAGAGTTCCTGTGTGGAGCAGGGCTGTCAGTAAGGAATTGGTGAGCAGAGATCAAACAGAATTTGGGGAAGGAAAACCAGGAGTGTTTTCATTCCTTTGAAAGAAACCAGAAAACAAACCAGAGGGATTGTTTAAGAGTGTAGGCTTGACCCTCTCAAATAAATCCTTTAACTTAAAAAAACGAAGCAAATGAAACAAAAATAAATTAAAAAACCCAGGGAGTATCCGTTTTCCCCTGAGCTGACTGAGCAACCACGACACCGACTTGTCTCTCCCTTCCTCCATGCTTTTGCTGAGTACAAGGCATGATTTTGGGGGAAATGATGTGAAAAGCCTTAATCTGCAAGAGTGCAAGGGTGTTGTGCAGCCTCAGCAGGCTGTGTGAGAGCTGATCTCTCCGTTTGCCATTGGGGATTCGCTAATTCCTGCGTCTCAGCTATAAAATTTTAGCGTCGTCTATGAAATGTCGTGTTGGTTTTCATGTTGGTGGTGCAGAGTGCAGGGGAGCTTTTCCCATTTGGTTTTCCACCCAGAATGACTCACTCTGGATATGAAAATATGAAGGTTGAATCCTGACAATCGGGATAATTAGCAAAGAAGCAAATTTTGTAAGAACGTCAAACCGATTGATCAATTTGAACACAAGATCCTCGTATTTGGTGTTTTGGGTGCCATTGGCTGTTCCCACCCTATTTCAGAATGGTGGGATCATGGAATGGTGTGGGTTGGAAGGGATCTTAAAGCCCATCCAGTGCTGTCCCCTTTTTTTGGGACATCTCCCACTCTCCCAGGCTGCTCCAAACCCCAATGTCCAACCTGGCCTTGGACACTTCCAGGGATGCAGGGGCAGCCACAGCTGCTTTGGGCAACAGGGAGGAATTTCTTCCTTTTGTCTGATCTAAATCTAGCCAATTTCACTTAAAACTTCACCCCTGCATTCCCCAAGGTCCCTTTCATGGTTGGACCCTAGGAGGGATCCTCTCATGAGCATGCATGAGGTCTCTCAAAATCTCCATATAATTCCTATTTTGCTTCCTTTCAAAATTATTTAAACCGCCGAAGAAGCGAGACCCAGCGATTCTTTTATTTATTGCTGATCCGAGCAGGGTTTCAAATTAATGAGATGTGGGCTGAGTTGATAAAAATAGCCTCCTGATTTAACATTCCAGAGGATAAATGCTCATCTCCAGGTTCAGTCTGTCTCAGTCGTGTCCGCTGCAGCATCTGAAGCAAAACCGCTCCAGTGGCAAAAAGGTTTAAAATAATTAAAATAATTAATTCCAGGCTCTACCTGTGTAAGGGAGTTTTTTCCATGGTGCTGCTGCTCCTCATGACGTTTTCTGGTGTGGAATTTTTATTTTGTGCTCAGCTTTAAGCACCCATTAGCCTGGATGGTGTCTGTGGGATTTTTATGGGTCGAGTTACAACTTGCTACAGTCACACCACAGAGGCCTTCGTTTCAACCCGCGTGGGTTTAAGTTTGGTGCAGAATTTACGGGGTTTACGACCGATTCCTGTTGCTTTGTGGTGGTCTGAGTGGAGTTTCCTCCTGTCTCTGGTGTTCCTCCCGCCACCGTGTCAAGAGCCACCAGTCAAGGCTGGCAGGACCTCAGAGGAACCCCTGACGCACTCACGAAGCAGCTGCACCGTGTGATGAGAGGGACTTCATCCTCATGGTTTTTTATAAACACTTAAAATGACTTTAAAACTACTTCTGGCTGTCATCCAAGCCTTCTGGACTAAGCCACGGCTACCAGGAAACGTCTTGGCAGTCGCCACCGTGTCATTAGGCTTTCCCTGCGCCTGAAAGCGCTCCGGTTTCGGGAGAAAAACAGGGATCCACGTTCCTTTTCTGGAGTGGTGAATGCTCATCTCTAAAGCTAACCAGGAACAGCTTTCCTTTCATCCCTGTGCCTGGATCCCTGCTCAAATCTGAGCCCCACCCAGGGATGGTGACACCTTCACCAGTCAAGGTGTTGGCCCACGAAGCCTGGCTTGTGTCAGGAATCCTTTAGGAATAATTTGAATATGGGAACGGCTTCCCAAGGTTTCAGTGTTTGTGGTGTTAGGTGTAGGTCACCTTCGAGTGGAAGGTTTCCTTCCAATGGTGTCGTCCGTTTTCTTGGGGTCTTGTCTCCTGATGGACTTTACTGTGCTTTATCAATCATATTCTGATCACAGTTTTCCATGGATTTTTAAAAAAATTTTGATAGAAATAACATTGCATTGCTCCATCAAGAAAAGCTCGGTGTCTTAGGAAATCTGTTAAGCTGATCCATAAGGATTTACCTGAAATATTTTTTTCCCACCCATTTTCCTCTGGTGATGACAAAATTGAGTTTCTTGGAAGGAGGAGGTTCGGTCTGATTGTTTTTCCACCAGAAATTTTCAGTTTGTCTCAATGTACCTCAACATCTCAGTCCCTTCCTCGCTGGCACCGTTTGAACTCCTGCTATTTTTGGATGGCTCTAATATTACAACCCAAGTCGTAAACAGGGTTGGACAGCAGCATCATCGGACTCCAGCTGCTTTTTAGGGAGGACTGGGAGTCTGAAGCTGGTTTGGCTTTAGCTGTAGCCTCAGTAGGTTTGTGACGGTCTCACAACAACAATTCTGCTGTCCCTCAGACTGGAATATTCCAACCCTTCCCCAGCACTGCCAATCCCACCACTAAAGCATGTCCCCAGGGTCTGTGAGATCCCTTCAGGGATGGGGACTCCAGCACTTCTCTGTTCCACTGTCAACCCTTTTGGAGGAGAAATATTCCCTAAAATCCCATCTAAACCTCCCCAGGACAGCTTGAACCCAGCTCCTCTCATCCTGTGGCTTGGGAGAAGAGACAGACCCCCCACACTTGGCTGCAACCTCCCTTTTTGTTTGGTCAAAATAACCCTCTTGAGAAAATGGTTTGTGTTCCTGTGTCTTACATGGGATTCCATGATCTGGTGTCTGTCAGGAGCTGTGATTCCATCACAGTGCCTACAAAATCAGAACCTTTTTTTTGTTGTTCTTTATTTTCTTATTCCTTGCTGCTGGTCACCTCTTTCTGCTCTTTGCCCTGAGCACGAACAGATTTCCTTTGGGAAATCTGTTTTTAAGGGTTGAGGTTCTAATTCTCCTGTTTGAAAATATCTTAGGGATGTGCCGTTTCTTTTCCACAAATGTGCAGCAGGCACAGACTGAAAATATCCCTGCACCTCCTGTCCTGGTCCTTCTGCACAGGTCTGTCTTCCCAGTGTGTGCTCCAGGGCCCTGCTGATTCCGTAAGCTGCTGCTTTGCTCCGTGCTTTACCACTGGACACCTTAAATAAATCACTTTTCTGTGATATTTGTGCTTGGGTTCTGATGGCTTTGCCTATTTCTGGACTCTGACTCCAGCTCTGGGCCCCTCCTGCCCAGAAAAGATCTGGAAGGGCTGGAGCGTGTCCAGGGAATGGAACAGAGCTGGGAAGGGTCTGGAGCACCAGGAGAGGCTGAGGGAGCTGGGAAGGGGCTCAGCCTGGAGAAAAGGGGGATCAGGGGGAATTTCTGGCTCTGCACAACTCCCTGCCAGGAGGGGACAGCTGTGGAGAATTTGGGATCGTATCCCAAGGAACAGGGACAGGAGGAGAGGGAATGGCCTCAGGCTCAGGGGTGGATATCAGCAGGAATTTCCTCATGGAAAGGGTGGCCAGGGCTTGGCAGGGGCTGCCCAAGGACTCCCTGTCCCTGGGGGTGTCCAAGGAAGGACTGGATGTGGCACACGTGTGACTCAATGATCCTGGAGGTCTTTTCCATCCTCAGTGATCCTGGGATTCTGTACTGGCGTCCTCATTCATGTCCTGAGCTACTGAGGTCAGGGGAGACTTTGTGTCACCCTCAGGCCTCTTCTCTGAAATCTGGAACATGACATGGCAAAACCAAGCCCCAGCTTTGACCCTTCAAGGTGTGGGTGAGGGACACAGAACCTCAGGGCTGCAGAATCCCTGGGGACCTTTCCTCCAGCAGGGATGTTGGTGGCTGGCTGCTGTGCTCTGTAGTGGATTTTCCCAAACCTTTAACCTAAAGTTCCTCTCTTGGCTCCTGGCAGAGTTATTTCCCTCTTGTAGATGCGTAGAGAAGACGTTGAGACTCTTGAGAGCGTCCAGAGGAGGCAGTGAGGCTGGTGAAGGGTCTGTGAGGAACGGCTGAGGGAGCTGGGGTTGTTTATCCTGGAGAAAAGGAGACTCGGAGGTGACCTTGGCGCTCTCTAAACTCCCTGGAAGGAGCCTGGGGTCAGCTGGGGTCAGGCTCTTTCTCCAGAAAACAGGGATAGGACACAGCCTCAAGATGCACCAAGGAAATTTAGATTGGATATTAGGAAAAATACACAGAAATTTACAGAAAGAGTGATAAAATAGTGGAATTTTCTGTCTGGGGGGGTGGTGGAGTCACCATCCCTGGATGTGTTTAAAAAAGCCTGGATGTGGCACTGGGTGCCGTGGTTTGGTTGAGGGGTTGGGGCTGGGTTGGATCCGATCTTGGAGGTCTCTCCCAACCTGGTGATTCTGTGATTCTGTGATTCTGTGATTCTGATTCTGTGGATTCTGTGATTCTCTGATTCTGTGATTCCGTGATTCCGTGATCCGCTGTCCCCAGGGGAGGTGATCTCTGTCCCTCATGCTCACAGCTTTTTCTCCCCTCTTCCAGTGACTCTTGATGGAAGAACACGGAGTGACCCAGGCAGAGCACATGGCTACCATCGAGGCCCACGCCGTGGCCCAGCAGGTGCAGCAGGTGCACGTGGCCACCTACACAGAGCACAGCATGCTGAGCGCCGACGAGGACTCGCCCTCCTCGCCCGAGGACACCTCCTACGACGACTCCGACATCCTCAACTCCACGGCTGCCGACGAGGTCACCGCTCACCTGGCGGCTGCAGGTAAAGCCAGGGAGCTGCTCCATCATCATCATCATCACCATCATCATCATCACCACCATCATCACCTCCTGGTGATGCCTTGGAGTGTCAGCCTGGAGCAGAGGCTGATTAAGAGAATAAAATGGGTGTTTATTTTATCCCCTGATGCTGTGAGAGGTTCCCTGGAGCAGAGGCTGATTAAGAGAATAAAATGGGTGTTTATTTTATCACCTGATGCTGTGAGAGGCTCCCTGGAGCAGAGGCTGGGCAGAGTTAAAGGAATAAAATTGGGATTTATTAAAGGTGGCACCTTGGGCAGTGCAGGAGCGTGGCCGAGGCTCCACCCAAGGTGGACTCAGAGTCACGAATTTCACACTTTTATAACTTCTGGTCCATTTCCATATCGGGGTTAATTGTCTAATTACAGCTTCAGTTAATGAATCCCCATCATCCCTGCCTGCTCCATCAATTCACTGCTGGTTAAACTTTCTGTGCCCGAAGCTGCAGCAACTCCTTGGTTCTGGGGCTGGGACAGGATTGTTGTATCTGATAATTTGTTGTATCTTGAAAATCTGTTTGATTGTTGTGTCTGAGCTGCGAGGAGAACTCGCTGACACTTTGTGAAGCTCAGAGTTACGCGCTAAAGCAGCGCAGGATCTGGAAAATTCAAAAGCCAAAGCTTAAGGCATCACACCTGGGGCAGTCAGAATCCCTCCAGAGGCTGCAGCCAGGATGGACGATGGTCACGAGTTTTGCATGCACTTATAGGTTTGGTTCATTTACATATCAGGGGTTAATCCTCTAATTACAGCTTCAGGTGATGAAGTAATTTACTCCAAGTTTCCCCCCCAGTTCACTTTTGTTTACATCTCTCGGGGCCTGAGGCTGTGAGGTGTCCTTGAGTTTCAGGCCTAGAGAGGAATTGTTTTGTCTGGATAAAACAGGAGAACAGCAGCTGACAGGCTATGGAGTTTTAGAGTTATACACTAAAGCAGTGCAGGATCTGAAAAATATAAAAGTTAAATCCTAAGGCATCAGTGGTCCATCCCACCCACAGGAATATTCCACAGGAATTATCCCTGCAGCTTTGAATCCCTCATCATTTGTGTGGATCACAGAAGTGCTGGGAATTGCTGGTTTACAAAGCTCCCTGCTAAAACGTTGCCTCAATTCACAAAATTAAAATACCAAATATGTCAAAAGAGCAAAAATTAGTTCAGGCCCCACATAAACAACACTAAAAAATAACCTGGGAGCGCGGCCTTGCTGCATTTAGAGAGCTCACGTGTTAGGCCTCTCCCAGGGAGATCCACAGAAGATCCTGACATACCTGGACTTGGAAAGTACTTCAGAATCACAGATTCCACCCAGTGGAGCCAAAATGTCCTCCAGATTGGCAGAAAAATTATAATTGAGCATTGGGAGTCTGGCCTGACTCCGTTATCAGGCTTTAAACCAAACCTGTGAGCTTCCACCACCCCCTGAGCATCCCTTATGAATCTTCCAGCCTCCCATCCTGCAGGGATTTTTATTTTCCCTTGCCTTCTAGCACACAGGATTTTCAGGCCTGGATGGTCTTCAGAAGACTCTGGATTTTTACATTTCTTTCCCATTAGAACAGGTCCTTAATCCCTCAGGAAAGCCTCAGGCTCCTGATGCTGCAGCTGAGGTGTCCGAGCAGGATTTGTTGAGCTGTACCTGTTCTCCTCTTCACAGCCAGAATCTCCTCAGATCAGTCAAAATCTTGGGAGTTTTTCATATGTTTGGAAGATGAAAACCAGAATTCTGTAAACTTTAGGCTGAACTATGTGACTTCCACCCGGGACTGAGCTGGGATTTGCCAGCCTGGGGTACGGAGAGCAGAGCTCAGGGAGGGATTTTTGTCACTTTCCCTGCTGGGGACACCCTGGGCACCCATTCCTGGCTGGTGGGGACACGGTGACAACGTCCCTGCTGAGCTGATGGCGCTGACAGACCCTCTGTGCTTTGATTTCCAGGCCCTGTGGGGATGGCAGCAGCTGCTGCCGTGGCAACGGGGAAGAAACGGAAGAGACCTCACGTTTTTGAGTCCAACCCCTCCATTCGGAAGAGGCAACAGACGCGTTTGCTCAGGTGAGCGCTCACCTGTCCCTGCTGAAACTTTTTCATCTGTTTCTCTGATTCTGCTTGCAATTTTTGCTCCTTGATTTCTCAGCTCCTCTGAGCCGAGCTCTTTTGGGGTCCTCTCTCACGGGGATTTATTTATCTCAGTTCTCTGGGTCAGAAGAAAACTCCAGAGCTCGTTAGGATCTTGTTGCTCTTGTGTTAATTAGGATGTTATCACAAAACTTGGCAGGTCTCTCCACACTTTCTGCACAAGTTTAATTCATCTTGTCTCTTTGGCTCACTTTGGCTCTGATGGCGCAAAATGGCCCTGAACTACGCAGTTCTTTTATTTTATACTTATTTTTACCCAATTAACAATAGACACATTATTTATTTTTCTTAATGACTCAATGACCCATCACCTGTGTGCTGCACTGTGACATTTTCTGTCCAATCACCTGCTGTTACCCAAAAACCTCGAGAAGAAGAAAGAAGGAAAAGAAACAACATTCTAAATCCTCCATCTTGTTTTCTATTTTTTAAACTAGTTTAAACTCTTAACTTTTCCACTCAGTGACTTAAGGAAACTTTAATTTACACACTCACACTTTTAGCTTTTCTATCTCACTTTAACAGTTGTTTTCATGTGTCACCATGAAAACACGCCCATAAATTTCATTATGAAATTTCATTGTATGAAATTCAGTGTTCTCCTGGATCTCAGAGCCAGACATCAAAGGATTTATCTGCCTCACAAAAAAAAAGCCTTTTCTGCTTGATCAAACCATTCTGGGAACAAATTCAGTGGGTGTTTCAAATTTCCTTTGCTGTTGGACAAACCCCACGCTGAAGACGCACAGTTTTAGGAAGAATAATCAAGGAGAGATTCCTGCCTGAGCTGAAACATTTTTATTTTGGCTTTTAAAAAAGCTTCCCGTGGAGACACCAGAGCTCCACAGCTCTCCAGGTGTTGCATTCCAGGTGCTCTGAGGCTGTTTGCCCACCTGGTGGCCCCCGAGCCACACCGGATCCGATGGGACTGCACAGCCCTGGAGACACCCCCAGAAATTCCACGCCAAAATTTGTGAATATTGCCTGTTACTGTTCCCTGGAACAAAGCAATTTTTGCTTTTTTGTGCTGTTTGGGATCTCATTGGGCAGCTAATGTTAAATTATTGGGCAGAGTTATTGATAAATAATAAATCCTTGGGAGTGAACTCCCTGCTTTTTACATCTCCATTCTGGTTTTCCCTCCTTCCCCCAGCTCAGCTGTGTTTATTGCAGTGTTTCTGAAGAAAACTTCCCTTTCTCCCTTGAAACAGGAATATGTTTTAATAGATGAAGATTAAATTATAATAGATATATTAGATATTATATCTATAATTATTATAATATATAATATATAATATATAATATATAATATATAATATATAATATATAATATATAATATATAATATATAATATTGTATATATAATATTGTATATATATTATAATTATAATATAGATACATAATAAAATAGAAATATATAAAATATAGATAAATATTAAAATATTAAAATACAAGATATTAAATATCAAATATATAATATATTACATTATTAATGTTTACAATATTATATCTAATATTAAGATTGTATATTAAGACTATAATATATTATTATTAATATTCTAATCTATATAATATATTATTAATATTATATATTATATAATAGATTAATATTATAAATTATTAATTATATTAAGAGTATATATGATATAGATATTATATATAATATTATTAATATTAATAAATTATATCTTATATATTATATAGATATATTATATTATATTATATTATATTATATTATATTATATTATATTATATTATATTATATTATATTATATTATATTATATTATATTATATTATATTATATTATATTATATTATATTATATTATATTATATATTTATTATTATATATATATATCACACAATCTATTTTTAAAGAAACTGCTCAGTGAAGGAATAATTTCTTCTCCTTTCTCTCAACTACTTCATTTTACTACAACATGATAATGACAAAACATCTTTTTTTTTCCCCTCTCTGTTCAGCTGCACACACATTTGTGCTTGATTTTCACCCCACTGGGAATCAAATTTCAGACCCCTGGCTGTGGGATCAAAGCTGGAGGTGCTTTTTTGGCAACAAAAACTCATTTCAGTCATTTCTGAAATGACCAGGACAGGGACTGAGCTGTCACCTCACGGAGTTTTTCTGAGGAAAACGCTACTTCTCTCTCTCTTTCGGAGTTTCTGCCACCATTTCTGACTCTTGCACTGCTTAAAAGGGAATAAGAGGCAGAAAATATCCAGTGGAACGTTTTAATTCCGAAGGGAGCTGCTGACAGGGCAGGTGTTGGGACACCTGGGTTTCCTGTGCTGAGCTGTTGCAATATTTCCAGCTCTTGCCTATCCTGTAGCTTGAATTCTTCCAGATCTGGTTTGAGGAGGACTTTGGTGCTGGAGACCGAAATAAATTGGCCAGGAGATGATCTGCTATGATCTGTATGTAAAACAGCCTCTGTCTGCAGGCCTCTTTTGATGAATCATTCAGCAAAACACAACTTTTGTGTCGCTAGGACAGAGTGGAAGTGCAGACTCTTGCTACCCCAGCTTTGCTGCTCTGGTGATTTCTCTTTTTTCATCAATGAGAAAATGAGAGAAGGGAGAATAATTGACATTTGAGCTGCTGGGTGACTGCAGGGAGCACAGCAGGCCTGTGGAGAGGAGGAATAAACCCAACATGTGGCCAAGCTGAGCAGCTGGGGCTCTGTTTCTCTCCTGCTTTGTGAAAAGGAGCTGGATTTCACAGGGGTTGTGTTTCTGCAGGGCTTTCAGCTCATTCCCTGTTTTTCCTGTGTTTCAGGAAGCTCCGGGCCACGCTGGATGAGTACACCACCAGAGTGGGGCAGCAGGCCATCGTCCTGTGCATCTCACCCTCCAAACCCAACCCTGTCTTCAAAGTATTCGGTGCTGCACCCTTGGAGAACGTGGTAGGTGTCCCTAGGAAAGCGAGGAAAGAAGTTCCTCACCTTCCCTGCAGATTTTGTTCTGCTCAGGGCAGCCCTGGAAGCCTGGTGAGGATCCGAAGGTCATGTTAAAAACCCTGGAAAACAGAGTTTTTAGGTTTAATGGAATGCAGTGCTGGAGCTGGTTGAGTCAGTGATTTCAGAGATCTTTTCCAGCCTGAATTTTCCTGTGATTCCCCGACACGAGGGCAGCGCTGAGGTCCTCTCTCCTCTGCAGGAATGTCTGCCTGGAACATCTCACCAGGGGGGATTAAAAATCAGAGGGAACAGGTCATCATCACAGAATCACAGAATCCCTGAGGCTGGAAAAGACCTCTGGGATCATCAAGTCCAAGCTTGGACAAGCAAGGACATCAAGTCCAATCCCCACCTTGTCCCCATCCCAGAGCCCTGAGTGCCACCTCCAGCCCTTCCTTGGACACCTCCAGGGATGGGCACTGCAAATCTCCCTGGGCATTTCCAAGCCTTGACCCCCTTTCCATGGGGAAATTCCTGCTGCTGCCCACCCTGAGGCTCCCCTGGCCCATCCTGAGGCCGTTCCCTCTCCTCCTGTCCCCATTCCCTGGGATAAGATCCCAAATCCCCCCCGGCTGTCCCCTTCTGGCAGGGAGTTGTGCAGAGCCAGAAATTCCCCCTGATCCCCCTTTTCTCCAGACTAAACAACCCCAAACAACGACAGATTTGAGCTCAGTTCTGCTGCCAGCTCCTGCACCTTATTGCAGCCCCTGCCCATGACAAAGTTCTGGCTTCAGAACTTTTTCATCCCCCAAATTCTTCCCTTGCCGGTGTTACTTCAAGTTTCATCAGCAAAGGCTGAGCCTCGGGGACCTCTGGGCGTTTCCTGCCAGCTGTGCCCCTCTTTGCAGCACCTTGGGGAACGTGGCTGCATCCTGTTCCTCTCCTGCTGCTGCTCACCTTGTTTACCTGAGCCTAACAACTCCCCACAGGTACGCAAGTACAAGAGCACCATCCTGGAAGACCTGGAATCGGCGCTGGCCGAGCACGCTCCGGCCCCTCAGGAGGTCAACTCGGAGCTGCCTCCCCTCACCATCGATGGCATCCCTGTCTCCGTGGACAAGATGACCCAGGTGAGCAGCAGAGGCAAGGACTGAGAGGGAATGTTTGGCATCTCAAAGTCACATCCTTGGTTTTTTTTTTGGTGTGGCTTCTCTCCAGGGGATGGCTCCGATCTCCTCCTTCCCCTGGGGCTGTGACAGCTCAGGCCGTGGTTGGATGTGGAGCTTTGTTAGTGGTGCTGATTTGCTGATTTTCTCCGTGGAAAGAGGAGATGTCAGGCTGCTGGGAGCATCCCAGAAAGTGGGAACAGGGAAAATGTTTGTTCCAGGCTTTAGGAACAATCTTTAGGCACTGAGGTTGGGACACACCTTTCTGTGTCCTGTAGTTCATTCCCTCCTCTGTTTCTTGCTGTGTGTTGGAGCAGAGGGGAGTTTGCCAAAGTTTTAACCCCAGATCAGACCCTGAGCGAGATATTTTTTGCTGGAGACAGGGAATTACCTGCCCTGGGTATGTGGGAATTCCCTTTCTCTCCAGGTCCAGCTTCACTGCTGGGAAAAAGTGCCTGGGAGTCCCCAGGGAAGCTTCATCTGCAGGGAAATCTTCTTCCCCAGGGATGCAGGACCTGAATTCAGGCAGGTGTGTCCTGCAGGAGGCTCTGGGTACACCCAGCCTGAGGGTTGTAATTTGAAATGTCAACACATTTCAAATGCTGAAAGGCAATTTTTTTTTCCTGAAGGAGCAGGGAGATGGAAAGTGCAGCACACAAAATGCTGTTGGAGCAGGGCAAAGATGTGCAGGTTTTTTCTGTGCTCTGCAGAGGTCACACCCTGCTCAAAACACCATTTCTTAGTGGAATCAGACAAGCTCACACTCATAATAAAATTTTATTGAGCTCACCGTGCTTTGGCTGGTCCAGATCATTTTCCCAATCCCTGACAAATAAGACAAAAATGATTTCTTGGGTTTTTAAACTCCTGTGAAAGGTGGCACCTGCAGGAGCAGCTTTTGTACCATGGAAATGTTTTTTTCTCCTCCTTGTCCTGCAGGGCCTTTGCTCAGCCAGCCCAAAGTGCTGATGTAGAACCTCTGATTTCAATTCTGTCCTGCTGCTTTATGGTAGAAAAACAAAGATCTTTTTTTAGGAATGGCCCTCATCGTTCCAGCACAGTGAGGTAGCTCAGAAGAGCTTTGTGGAAAGGTTTCTCCTGAGCTGTGCACAGAGGTGCCATCATTTATTGTGGAAATTTTGATTCCCAGAGCTTCCAGTATAATTATTTGTATTTTCTACAAAAAAAAAAAAAAAAAAAAAAAAAAAAAAAAAAAAAAAAAAAAAAATCAGCTTTTTTTTTTGCAACTAAGTTGCACAAAACCCTGCTTAATAAATATAAATATAAATATAAATATAAATATAAATATAAATATAAATATAAATATAAATATAAATATAAATATAAATATATATAATTAGGATGGCAGGGACTGGAAAAACGAGGCCTCAGCTTTCAGCAGGTGCAAGCAGGCAGGTGTAGAGGTGTCATCAGTGAGGAGGTGAAAATAACTCTCCTTTTAATTGCTCTGCTTCCCCAGTGGTCTGGAGGGAAATAAAGCCTTGATTTGCCTGGGCAAAGATGTTTCTCTAACCTTGGGCTGGGCAGGAAAACCTGTGTTGCAGTGGGATTTTCAGCCTTCACAGGGGGGGAATCTTGGTGTTTTCTGGACTTTGGTGACAGCTGAGTTTTCCCCTCAACTCCTTCTCTGTTGCTCGTTGATGTGACTGAGGAGTAAAATTGGATAATCTGAGTTTAACCAAGCTGAGTTCAGTGCTTCAGTGTGATTTGTCCTTTAATCTGACTTTTTTTTTCTTTTTTTTTTTTTAAAGCCCCCATGATTTATTTATTTACTTACTTATTTATTTTACTTATTGCAGGAGGTAGTAAAAGTTTTTCTGGGCCTCTCAAAAATCACGGTGCTGCCCGTTCAGCTCCTGCCAGCTTCTCTCCTGCTCTCCCAGCTGGGCCTGGTTGTGCTTTGGGCTGCTGCATTTGGGAATGGGATAGCTCAGTACCATTAATTCTTGAATTTAACGTGAAAAGTTAAAACTCTGAGTGTTTTAACTGTGTGAAAAGGTGGCAAAGAAACATTTCTCACACCTTCTCCCAAATCCTCCGTCCTCGAGCTCACCTCAGCCCTTCCCAAACTGCCAAGGGAACAAAACAGAAGGTGCTGCTGGATTTTTTTTTTTTCAGCACAAATTTGATTTTTTGGATGTTGGTGTCAGCAGAACGGTGGCTGAATGTTCCCACCTGAGGGATGTGGGGGACATTACCTGTGACAGAGCCCCCCTAGGCTCGTTAGGGCACTAATTAGGCAAGTCCTCTCTCCCTGACAGCACTGCTGATTGTCTCCCCCGTGGATTAAAGACAAACCCTCCTTAACAAGTACCTTGAGTAGCTTGAGCCCTCAGCTCCCATGGACCAGTAATTGATCCAGCTGGAAACAAGGAGCATTGCTGATGAGGAAAGAGATTTTAACTGTTTTTGCACCAAGCAACTCAAAAAAAAATCCCCCCAAAAATAAAAAAAAAAAAACCCGCTGCTACCAGGTTTATTTGAATAAATTATTGGGCAGAGTTACTGCTAAATAATAAATCCTTGGGAGTGAATAATAATAATAAATCCCTGCCTTTTGCAGCTCCATTCTGGTTTTTCCTCCTTCCCCCAGCTCTGCTCACTCAGAGTTGAACAAACCCCTGTTTATTGCAGTGTTTCTGGAGAATAAATCCTTTCCTCCCTTGGACTACGAGCAATATATTTCTAAAGAAACTGCTCTGTGGAGGAATTCTTTCTCCTCCCTTCACCAGGTTTCAGCCAGGGAACCTGGAGCATGTCAGGGTGAGTGTTGGCCCTGCAGTGGAAGGTGGATCACGGACAGGGTGGGAGAAAGGTGCTTTGCTGCATATTCCATGTGTAATGTGGGAAAAGCAGCTTGAAATGAGTTCAGGGATCAATGGATGCAACATCCTGCCTCTTTCCAGAGAGGGGAACGGAGCTGGGGATGCTGGAGCACCGGGAGAAGGGTCTGGAGAATTCCTGAGGGAGATGGGAAGGGGCTGGAGAATTCCTGAGGGATCTGGGAAGGGGTTGGAGAATTCCTGAGGGAGATGGGAAGGGGCTGGAGAATTCCTGAGGGAGCTGGGAAGGGGCTGGAGAATTCCTGAGGGAGCTGGGAAGGGGTTGGAGAATTCCTGAGGGAGATGGGAAGGGGCTGGAGAATTCCTGAGGGAGATGGGAAGGGGCTGGAGAATTCCTGAGGGAGATGGGAAGGGGCTCAGCCCGGAGAAAAGGGGGATCAGGGGGAATTTCTGGCTCTGCACAACTCCCTGCCAGGAGGGGACAGCCGGGCAGGATTTGGGATCTTATCCCAGGGAACGGGGACAGGAGGAGAGGGAACGGCCTCAGGATGGGCCAGAGGAGTCTCAGGGTGGATTTCAGGGAAAATTCCTCCATGGAAAGGGGGGTCAGGCACTGGAAATGCCCAGGGCAGGGGGAAGTGCCCATTCCTGGAGGGATTTCCCAGCCCTGGGGATGTGACACTTGGGGACAAGGTGGGGCAGGGGTGGCCTTGGCAGTGCTTGGGAGCTTAAAGGTCTTTTCCAACCAAAATGACTCCGTGATTCTATGAAATAATTTACTCTAAAAGCTCTGAAGGGATGCAGAGAGCTGCTCCTAAATGCAGTTTTTAAGCTCTAAACATAATTTCCTCTGACATAAGGAGAGCTCTCCCCTTCCTGCTCTGCTCTGCAGCTGAACCAGCCTTTTCCTGCTGCTCCAAGGAGTCCCAGCTACAAAAACCAATCTTGTCACAAGACCCTGTGAGAATTCTGCATTTCTTTTGGCAGCACAGGGGTGGAGAAGTGTCAGATGCTTTCCACATTTCAGCAGCCACTGAAGCTCCATCCCCTTGCAGCATCTCTGTAAAAGATAGATCAGCTCATGGCCGAGTTCCTGCCACTGTAGGGACACGGAGTGTGGGGTTTTTAATGGGTTATTGTGATTTATTTGGGGATTTTTTCCCATTTCAGGCTGGTTTATTCTCTTCCTGGTAGTGTTTGAATAGTGAAGTGTCAATACCCTGGGTGTTTGTGCCTCGGCGTTGGAATTTCGCGTTGGCTTTAATTTTCCTTTCCTTTGATTGTTAATTTAATTTACTTTAAATGTTTAATTTAATTTTGTTTCCTCTCTTCCACCTGCTGCCAAGCTGAGTCTTGGGAGAAACTGGCAAAGTATTATCCACCTTCCTTGGGCGTTCAGGCCTCTTCCAACGACGATGGTTCCAACAGGATGGAATCTGAACACAAAAATTCCATCCAGCGCACCTCAAGACTACCGGAGATGTGAACTCCTAAACACCTCTCAACCTTTTTTTTTTGTTCCAGGCACAGCTGAGAGCCTTCATCCCCGAGATGCTGAAATATTCCACGGGTCGTGGCAAGCCAGGCTGGGGCAAGGAGAGCTGCAAGCCCATCTGGTGGCCCGAGGACATTCCGTGGGCCAACGTCCGCAGCGACGTCCGCACGGAGGAGCAGAAGCAGCGGGTGGGTGTCTCCCTGCCTGCCTCCAAAAGGAGCACTGGGCTGAGTTTGCCCCTCAACTTTGGTTTTTGGGAGTGGTTTTTGCCTCGAGGGACAGAAGGAAGAGTCTGTGTGAAGGAGGGAAGGGATGCTGTCCTGCTCAGAGGTTTCCTTAAAGCTTTGTGCTTTAGGGAAAAAGAGTCGTGGACGTGCAGTGGAGCCAGGAGAAATGAGAGAACTGGGTGGAAAGGTCTTGAGTAAAGTTTCTAGCAACGTGTCACAGAGATAATGAAAGAATAATCCGTGGTGTGGAGGCAGCAGGGCTTGTGGAGGCTGGTTGGGTGGGGAGGCTGGAAACGGTGTTGTGGCAGCATTTTGGTGCTTTCCCAAATCACCAAATCACCAAATCACCAAATCACTGTGGTTTTCTGCTTGGGGTCACCGAATGCTTTGGGTTGGAAGGGCCCTTTTAAAGGTCTTCTCATCCAAGCCCTGCACTGAGCTGGAACATCTCCAGTGGATCAGGGTGAGCTCCCTGGGGAAAGGAGGGGATGAGCAGAGGGAGATTAAATCTCGGGGTTGTTCGTTTGCCGATTGTTGCAAACCACCCCGACAAATGAAAGACAAAACGTGCAAATCCCGGCCCTGTGCTGGTTCAGAACACTCCCCTGGGCTGACTGTCCCCTGTTCCCTCCTGCTGGAAGGTCTCCTGGACCCAGGCCCTGCGGACCATCGTGAAGAACTGCTACAAGCAGCACGGGCGCGAGGACCTGCTCTACGCCTTCGAGGACCAGCAGACCCCGCAGACCACCACCACGCACAGCATCGCCCACCTGGTGCCCTCCCAGACCGTGGTACAAACCTTCAGCAACCCCGACGGCACCGTGTCCCTCATCCAGGTGAGAGGAACCCCCTGCATTTCCCATTTCCAGCCTCAGGGTTTAAGGAAACTCGGGAGCTAAACTTTGACCTTGGGGAATTTTGTCTTCATCACATCTTACCCCACAAGGAAGATCCATTTTCATCCTCTCTCTTCTCAACTCCCACCCTTTGTTCTCCTTTGTTTCACCCTTTGTTTGTGCAAGGATTTCTGTGATGTGATCAAACAATTCAGGGATTTGACCTGAGTTTAGTGAATCTACTCAGAACAAATCCAGTCCCAGGTGCCACCACGCAACACCTGTGGGTGGCAATGGGAGGAGAGGTGGTGGAACTGCCTTCCTTTAATGGTGTGAAAAGTAGTTTAATCATCAGATCAGGTATTTCTGTGCCCCATGTCTTCATCTGAAGTGTATTGTATTTATTACAAACACCAAATTCATATTTGTCCTCATGGAATAAGGATTCCTCTCACACTGTTCTTAGCTCAGTGCTGCTGCTGGTTTTTCCCCTGTGTGAAAAGGCAGATTCTGGCAGCTCAGGATGTCAGAAAAAATTAGGTTTCCTCTTGAAACTTCCCACAAACTCCTCATGGGAGTGAGATTTGAATCTCAGTTTCCTTTGTGCCTCCAAACCTGGTGGTTCCTAACCAGGCCCAGCGTTTTGTCCCTCATTTTCAGTCAAGTCTCAGACATAATGAAGATAAAAACTGGGTTTTTTTTCCCAAATGAAGCTTTTCAGTGGCTGTGAGAGTTTTCTGTTCCCAAAAAAAAAAGCAAAAAGTACCAGCAGACTTGCCAGGCTGGTTCTCTTTGCTCACCTGTCCATACAATCTCCCTTTGACTGCTGTCCTTTCAGCTGCTGGACACCTGAGATCCCATTGACTTCCTGGCATTTCTATTTCATTCTCCTCAGACACAGAGCTGCCCATCTCCCTGCCTTTGTCCTTTCCCAGCTGTTAAATGGGGAAAAGATCATTTCCAAAGGGGAATTGAGGATGAGCTCTTGTTTGCCAGATGCCTGGAGATGAGACCCAGGGAGCAAGGAGGGTGTGCAGGGAATTCTGAACCAGTTCTGGGAGGGTGGGAGAAGGGAATTAATGCTTAAAGGACCTTGAAGATCCTCTCATTCCCATGGCAGGGACAATTTCCACCATCCCAGGTTACTCCTGTCCAGTCTGGCCTTAGACACTTCCAGGGATCCAAGGAATGGATTCCAGGGAATGGGGAGCAAGAAGGGTGTGCAGGGAATTCTGAGCCAATTCTGGGAGGGTGGGAGAAGGGAATTAATGCTTAAAGGACCTTGAAGATCCTCTTATTGCAATGGCAGGGACAGTTTTTACCATCCCAGGGTGCTCCAAACCCTGTCCAACCTGGCCTTGGACACTTGCAGGGATCCAAGGAATGGATTCCAGGGAATGGGGAGCAAGGAGGGTGTGCAGGGAATTCTGAATCATTTTTGGGAGGGTGGGAGAAGGGAATTAATGCTTAAAGGTCCTTAAAGATCCTCTCATTCCCATGGCAGGGACAATTTCCACATCCCAGGTTGCTCCAAACCCTGTCCAACCCAGCTTTGGACACTTGCAGGGATCCAAGGAATGGATTCCAGGGAATGGGGAGCAAGAAGGGTGTGCAGGGAATTCTGAATCATTTTTGGGAGGGTGGGAGAAGGGAATTAATGCTTAAAGGACCTTGAAAATCCTCTTATTGCCATGGCAGGGACAATTTCCACTATCCCAGGTTACTCCTGTCCAACCTGGCTTTGGACACTTCCAGGGATCCAAGGAACGGATTCCAGGGAATGGGGAGCAAGGAGGGTGTGCAGGGAATTCTGAGCCAATTCTGGGAGGGTGGGAGAAGACCTTAAAGATCCTCTTATTGCCATGGCAGGGACAATTTCCACATCCCAGGTCACTCCAAACCCTGTCCAGCCTGTCCTTGGACACTTCCAAGTATCCAGGGACAACCAAAACCAACTTTTCCAACATCTTAACCACCCTCACCATAAATTCCTTTATTCTTTTCCATCTGAGATTCCCTTTCCCTGAGCTCTGTGGACATTCCCTGAGCTAACAGATGCTGTTTTGTGCTGTTTTGTCCTCCGCAGGTTGGCACCGGTGCCACGGTGGCCACGCTGGCCGACGCCTCCGAGCTGCCCACCACGGTCACCGTGGCGCAAGTCAATTATTCTGCGGTGGCTGACGGAGAGGTGAGGAGCTGAACTTCCTTCCATATCTCAAACTTGCATTTATTTTTCCCCCTTTTCTTTTAAAAAAAAAAATCAAATCATTCAAATTTAATAATCCCGGGTTTTTTTTGGCATTTCCATGCTTAAATCTGAACGCTCAACATTTAATTTTTCCTTTTTTTTTTTAATCAAATAATTCAAATTCAATAATCCAAAGTAAGTCAAAGGTCTGAATTTCATATATATTTTATATATATATATTTTTTTTTCTGTAGATTATTTAAGTTTTGGGGGGTTTTTTTTGGCATTTCCATGCTTAAATCTGAATGTTCAAACTTGCAAACATTTGTTTTTCCCCTTTTTTTAAAAAAATCAAATAATTCAAATTCAATAATCCAAAGTAAGTCAAAGGTCTGAATTTCATATATAAATATATTTTTATATATATACTTTCTGTAGATTATTTATTTAAGGTTTGGGGGTTTTTTTGACATTTCCATATCTAAATCTGAATGTTCAAAATTTCAAACATTTATTTTTTCCTTTTTTTTTTCTAAAAATCAAATCATTCAAATTCAATAATCCAAAATAAATCAAAGGTCTGAATTTCATATATTTTTATATATATATATACTTTCTGTAGATTATTTATTTAAGGTTTGGGGGGGTTTTTTGGCATTTCCATGCTTAAATCTGAATGTTCAAACTTGCAAACATTTATTTTTCCCTTTTTTTTAAAAAAAATCAAATAATTCAAATTCAATAATCCAAAATAAATTAAAGGTCAGCATCTCATATTTTTTTATACATGTACCTCCTGTAGATTATTTATTTAAGGTTTTCTGAGGGGGGGGCATTTCCATGCCTAAACCTAAACACTCAAACATTTATTTATAAATTTTTATAATTTTATAAAAACATAATTTTTATAATAATATAATTTTATGTAAATATAAATATATAGTTTATATAAATAAATATATATTATATAAATAAATATATTTTATATAAATATATAAAAATATTTTTTTATAAAAATTATATATATTTTAAAAAAAAAAAAAAATCAAATAATACACAAAAAAACCCCATCATTCCTTCCATGGGGTGTAAGAAACATTAAAATACTCCCTTAAAATGCTATTTTTTATTTTAATTTTATTGTCCTGGGCTGTCAGGGCGAGAGGTGGCAGCACAGAACAGCTTTGCTGGCCACAAACCCTGACCAAAACATCTCCCCATGACCTTGGTTCGCTCTGCAGCAGCTTCCAGCCTTTCCAGGAACCTCTTCCATCTCCTGGCAGCCACAGGAAATCTTCCAAAAAGCACAAAAAAGCTGGAAGGGGGTGGTGGAAAGAAGATTTGGGGTGGTTTTACACCCTCTCAGCTTCTTTTCCTTCTTTCCTTGCTCCATCCCTGTCCTGGAATTCCTTGGACACCTTTGGAGGGCATCACCAGGATCTCCCACTTCCAGATTCTCCCTCCATCCTCCATCCAAAATCAGCAAAATTTTACCCTGAGCCTTCAGTCAGCTCTGATTTTATGGACTTTTTAACCTTTTCCATCCCAACAAATCAAGATCTTTTTTTTTTTTTTTTTTGTATTTCACCACCCCCTTCTCAGCATTTTTATTTGTGTGTCTCAGAAGTTCAGAGCACCCTAAAATGTTTATGGGGATGGGGGGTGGAGGTTTTTCACCTCTCAAAGCAGCCAGTGGCATTTGTCAGCAGATCCTCTGCTTTTTTTTTTTTATTTTTGGTCCAAAATTATTTGGTTTTAGTTCTCATCCTGGAGGATTTTGTGGCTGTATAATCATTATCTCAAGAGCTGGGAAGCTCCACGTGAAAATATGGGGGGAAAAATGAGAATCTGGGTGATTTAGGTGATATTATTATAATTATTATATCTATTATAAGATTATATTATATTATATCATATTACAATATATAAAATATAAATTATATAAAATATAAATTATATAAAATATAATAATTAATATAATATAATATAATATAATATAATATAATATAATATAATATAATATAATATAATATATATAATATATATAATGTAATATAATATAATACAATACAATACAGTACAATACAATACAATATAATATAATATAATATAATACAATATAATACAATATAATACAATATAATATAATAATTAATATCATATCATATCATATCATATCATATCATATATAAATATAATAAGTATTATAATATATAATATAATCTATTGTATATAATATTGTATATAACATATAATATGTAATTAATATAATATATTATAAATAATAAATATGATCATATTTATTATATTATATTATATTATATTATATTATATTATATTATATTATAATGAAAATTATCTCTGGGAAGGTCTGGAGTTAGGGAATTTTAAATACCTGGGATAAATGAACATTTCTGGGTTTTTGAGGACTTTTCTGGATCTTTGTGCAGTGTGAGCTGTGGTCAGCCACATCCTCAGGTAGATCCCAGCCTTCCTCCTTTTTCTCCTGCAGGACTCTGCCAAAACCCTCCCATCTCTTTCTTTTTGGGAAGCAGGCATGCCTCGAGGGGGTGATGGCTGATCAGAGAATCACAGAATCACAGAATCAGGGAATCAGGGAATCACAGAATCACAGAATCAGGGAATCAGGGAATCACAGAATCAGGGAATCAGAGAATCACAGAATCACAGAATCACAGAATCAGGGAATCACAGAATCAGGGAATCAGAGAATCAGAGAATCACAGAATCACAGAATCAGGGAATCAGGGAATCACAGAATCAGGGAATCACAGAATCAGGGAATCACAGAATCAGAGAATCACAGAATCACAGAATCAGGGAATCACAGAATCAGGGAATCACAGAATCAGGGAATCACAGAATCAGAGAATCACAGAATCACAAAATCAGGGAATCACAGAATCACAGAATCAGAGAATCACAGAATCAGAGAATCAGGGAATCAGGGAATCACAGAATCAGGGAATCACAGAATCACAGAATCAGGGAATCACAGAATCAGGGAATCAGAGAATCACAGAATCACAGAATCAGGGAATCAGGGAATCACAGAATCAGGGAATCACAGAATCAGGGAATCAGGGAATCACAGAATCAGGGAATCACAGAATCAGGGAATCACAGAATCAGAGAATCAGGGAATCACAGAATCAGAGAATAACAGAATCACAAAATCAGGGAATCACAGAATCAGGGAATCAGACAATCACAGAATCAGGGAATCACGGAATCATGGAATCACAGAATCACAGAATCACAGAATCACAGCTTCACAGCTTCACAGAATCACAGAATCACCAGGTTGGAAAAGACCTCCAATATCGAGTCCAACCCAGCCCCAACCCCTCAACCAAACCACGGCACCCAGTGCCACATCCAGGCTTTTTTAAACACATCCAGGGGTGCTGACTCCCCCACCTCCAGAGAGAAATTTCCACTATTTTATCACTCTTTCTGTAAATTTCTGTATATTTTTCCTAATATCCAATCTAAATTTCCTTGGTGCATCTTGAGGCTGTGTCCTCTTGCTGTTTTCTGGAGAAAGAGCCCGACCCCAGCTGACCCCAGGCTCCTTCCAGGGAGTTTAGAGAGCGCCAAGGTCACCTCTGAGTCTCCTTTTCTCCAGGATAAACAACCCCAGCTCCCTCAGCCGTTCCTCACAGACCCTTCACCAGCCTCACTGCCTCCTCTGGACGCTCTCAGACCTCGGGACATCCTTCCCAACCCCATCCCACAGCCTTTCCCTGTGTTTCCCTGGCAGGTGGAGCAGAACTGGGCGACGCTACAGGGTGGGGAGATGACGATCCAGACGACGCAGGCCTCCGAGGCCACGCAGGCGGTGGCCTCCTTAGCGGAGGCGGCGGTGGCGGCGTCGCAGGAGATGCAGCAGGGAGCCACTGTCACCATGGCACTCAACAGGTACCTGGTTTCCTCCTGAGAAAGGAAAGGAATATATAATATATATTCTTCTCTCCTTCTGAGAAAGGAAAAAAACCTTCTGAGGGTGCAGAGTTTGCTCTGTGCGCTCCTGAGAGAGGCTTTTCCTCAGTGAATTCTTTGTGTGCTCCTGATTCTGGCTCAGAATTGGGATTTCCTCCACAGATCTCTGGGTTTGGGTGGGTTTTTTATGCCCCAAAATCTTCCTGAGCTGCAGTGGTTATTGGGGTTTTTGGCTGCACTCAGGTTAGCAAGATCTGAGGTGTAGCTGCACAGGTCCATCCAGCAGGATAAAATATCTTTTCTCAGCTCTGCTGAACTGCCTGAACTCATCCTGCTGTTCCAAAAAGCTGGAGATGGCTGTGGCACTCCCTGAGGGATAGGAAATCACAGCTCAGCCACTGCTGAGGTGTGGACAAGAATTTCCCTCATCCAAGCCAGGATCCTGGTTAGAGGCTGTTGGCTGAGCCAGGGGATGGGACACAGGGCACGACACCGCACTGCTGGTGCTTGGAATAAAGCTCAGGAATTGCTGAAGGAATCACTCTGATCCCACTTTGTTCCCAAATCTCTGCTGGGATTAATCCCAAACACACCTAGAACCATGTAGTTCTTTGGGTCCTTCAGGTATTTCTTGTCTGCTACATGAGGTTGGTCAAATTTTCTTTGCAAATAGTTTCCCTGTAAAATTCCCTTTTAAAATCTTTTCAGGACACTGGAGCCACAGGAAAAAGCCCCAAATCCAACTTGTAGGATTTTATCCTGCCCATTTCCAGGATTCCAGATTTCCCTACATGGATTTCCTTTGGAAGTGGGAAGGGAAAATGCCTTCCCAGAGCTCCAGGCTCAGGATGAGCCAAGGGGAGCAGGGAAGCTAAAGGAAAATATTCTTTTTTTTTTTTTTTTTTCTACGAGTTTTTAAGAGCCACTCTGAGACACAGAGGGGCTGTTCAGAACTGAAAATCCACCCCAAGTGGATGCAGCAGGAAAATGTTTGGCATCTGAGCAAGAAATGAGGGAAGAGAAGGGGAAAATGGAAAATATTTGAGCAGAGAATGAGCAGAGGGAGAGCATCCACGGGGAAGCTAAAGGAAATCCTACTTTTCTTTTGCTTAATTGAGGGAGGAATTGATAGGAAATTCGACTTCAGGAATGTTTTACCACTGCTGAGCAGATATTGTCCAAATAAATTGGATATTAGGAATGATGAGGGAAGGCATTAAGGGCAAGCTTAATAACTGGAATAAAACTGGTGCATTCACATCTTGGATGGTGTGGGAAGTGCCCACCACTCAAATAGAAAAAGTCTGGAAAGGACAAGAGCGATGAAAGCCCCAGGAATGATCCATGCCACAGTGGGGAGGAGATCATTGGAAATGTGTAAAATCATGGGGAAAACAAAAAAAAAGGAAAAGTTTTATTTCCTGTTTCTCACAATTTCAGACTAAAGGGCTGCCCAGCCAGGAGTTTTTGAAGTTCCATAATGCAGTTTTTCCTTCTAATTAAATGTGGAACCCTTTGCTCCAGGATGCTGGGGAAGCAAAAAGAGTAGATGGGTTTCAAAGGGGATCAGAGACAGATCAGAAGAGCCTGGACAGTCCCAGCCTCTTTTTTCCTTACTCCATCTCTGTTCTGAAGCTCCTTGAGCACCTTTGCAGGGCTTTTGGGCCTGTGTGAAGAAATTTAACAGCTATATATATAAATATATATAAATTTAACAGACAATGCTCATCCAGAAGAATTCTGGAACCACTTGGCTGGGGAGGAGTTGAAGGCAGAGCTGGTGATGCTGCTCGTGGCAGGTGAACTGGCAGCACCAAGGGAGAGCTCTGAAATCTGCAGAGCTCCAGGATGTGCCAAAAATCAGAATCCAGAGCCACGTGGAAGAACTGCTTGGATTGCCCCGAGGTTTTATCCAAGTCCCAGGTGAAAGGGAGAACACAGGGGTGTGCAAGCTGAAAAAAAATCCACCAGAAGCAGCTTCTTTCCATCCGTTCCTCCTCCAGCGCCGATTCCCTGCCCTGCATCGCTTTATCCAGGCCAGACACAAATCCCTCTGCTCTGGGTTGTTCTTTTGGTTTGTGTTTGCTGCTTAAAATGGAATTCTTTGTTGATTCTGGTGTTCCTAACCCTTCTCTCCCCTCTGCTTCCGCAGTGAAGCCGCTGCCCACGCCGTAGCCACGCTGGCCGAGGCCACCCTCCAAGGAGGGGGACAGATTGTCCTTTCTGGGGAAACTGCAGCAGCGGTTGGGGCGCTCACTGGAGTCCAGGATGCCAATGGTAAGGCCTCTGCAAAGTTTTTATTTGGGTTTTTTTTTTCAATTTAGGCTCTTCAAAACAGCCTTTTCCTCTCTTTTTATCGAAACGTCGCCGTTTGGGTGGTAAAATTCTCCTCCCTCGCTCAGGGGGTCGCTGGCCAGTTGTGAGTTATAATCTCAGGGTGGAATGGGAATATTAACTCTTTGTTTTCTCCCCTGGTGCTGGTGGCTCTGCTCTTTCTCTCCTCTGCCAGCTGGCTCTGTATCCTTAGTTTTTTTTTTATTTTGGGAAAACTGCTCTGTGATGTCTGGCTATGCCCAGCACAGGAGGGGCCAGCCTTGATCAATTAACACAATTAGTTGGTGCCATAATAAACTCATCTCCAGAACTCTTAAACCAATATTTTATTACTTCTTTCCTGCCTTTCTCAAGTCTTTTTTTTTTTAATTTGGTGGCTGCTCCTGAGGCAGCCTGGGGTTGTTTTCCTCCTGCTTCATTTTGCTTTTGATTCCAGGGATTCTCTGTAGCGTTTCTCACCTGTTCTGTGCTTTCTGCCAAGTCTGGTGACTTTTGCAGTTCTCCAGACTAGAAATGAAAGTGTAAATCTATAAAACCCAGCTGAAGAGATGAGAGGAATATGAAAATGTGCCTCGCTGGGCACATTTTCATATTTCATCCGCTGCCTCTGGTTGCTCTGCGCTCCTGCCTGGAGGTGTTTAAGGAACACCTGAATGCCTTGGTGTTGGCTCATAGGTTGGACTCAGTGATCCCAGAGGTCTTTTCCAGCCCAGCTCTGGGATAATTTCCAAGCTCAGACTGGATTTTATGGAATTACCCAAAAAAACCCACCGGTTATTTGGGTTAGGTGGAAGGAGTTGGGTCAAAATCGGCCGGAAAAGGGCGCAAAAAGGTGAAGCCATAAAGAAACATCACCTTGAAGGTGGTAAATTGTCAAAGAGGAGCCAAGTATCAGAAATGTCACTTTGCAGGAGAGCAGAAACCTGCTCAGGTGAGAGCTGACATCCATCAGAATCCTCATCCAGCCGGGAGCGCTCTCCGTGTGAGACAGACGTCGATGTTTAGTTTGCAGCAGAGGAGGGAGGAGGAATTTGACTCAGAGCTGCTTTGATTCCCTTGCTGTGGAGTCAGCCAGCCTGAAGAGGGAGCAGAAATGAAGGGAAATCCGTGTCCTCAGAGCTGGGAATTCATCTGGCACGGAGGGAAGAGCAGGATTGTGTTTATTGTCAGGGCGATAAGTGCTGAGTGTTTATCGGGGGCAGGATCTGGATGCTCAAAACCAGCAGCTGATCAGATTTGGAGAAGCAGATCTGCACCCCTGGCTCCTTTTTGCTCTGCTTCCAAAATGTTTTCACTCTCTGGATTCCTCTGGATGCTTCCCCTAAAACTCCCCTTCTCCACTCAAAACCTGAGTCACTCCACCTTACTCTCCGAGCGCTGACATCATTTTAATACAGGCTGGACTTTTTTTTTTTTTCCCCTTTTTTCCTCCTTTTCTTTTTTTTTTTCCCTAGCAGCCAAGTTGGAAATCAGATGGGATTTAGAGTGCATTAAGGGGAGAGACTGCAGCATTTTCCTGTGAGCAAAACCTCGCCCACAGCCCCTCGCCTGGTTTCCACTCTCCTTCGATTTGCTCTAATCTCCGGTGGTATTAAAGGGAAGGGCTTTGGAGTCCTTGGGAGCTCCATGCTGTTGGTTCCTTACGTAACCAGCTAATTTATCTCCCTCAGGGATGGAGGAGATGTTGGTATCCATTGCTGCTGTCTCTGTCTGGGGAGGGAGAGCAGATGGATTGCGCTGCCGGCAGGATTTATCTCCGGGGTGGGAGTGGGAGCCTCCTCCTTGATGGATGCAGCAGGAAAAAATCCACTCTGCGCCTTTCTGTCCTGAGAAATTGGGAGTGATTCAGGGAGAAAAAACAACTGGTCCTAAGCAGGGGATTTCCCCTTCTCGCCGTTGCTTGCAAGGTGGTTAATTTGCTGATATTCCCAATAAATGCTTCTCTCTGGGAATGCTCTTGCCATTCTGCAGGACTTTGCTGAGGAAAAACATCTGGAAGGGTAGGATGGGAGTTTATCTCCATCTGATTGATAAGATAAAGGAGATAGTTTGACATCTCCCCATCCCTGGGAGTGTCCAAGGCCAGGTTTGGAAGGACCTGGGATAGTGGAAGGTGTCCCCATGGCAGGAAGGAGATGATCTTTAACTCATTTCCAACCCAAACCATCCCATGATTTCTATGAAAATTTCTGGAGGTCAGGCAAGGTGTTTCATTCCTGATTTTAGCCATTAAGTGTAATTACTCTTTTTTATTTATTTGGGGTTTTTTTGTTGATATTTTTATGGCATTTTTCCCATCCCTTCTCTGGAATTACCTAAATAATAATAATAACAGTACAAGACAGCTCTAAAAAGAGGAAACCTCTGGATATTCATGGATATGTGGGAATCTAGGGCCAGATACCTTGCAGAGAGCCCAGGAACGTGTCTGCACCACAAAAGGGCTGTGGATAATCTCGTGATCTGTTCCATTCCCAGCTGAAGGAAACAAGATCTCCTGCTCCCATACAACATCAAACCAAAGAAGTGCATTACGCTTTTCCTGCTCCTCTGGAGCATCTGCTGCGAGTGGGGACGCAGAAACTGCTGACCCCACGCTTGGAGGCTCAGATGGTTTTGTTCTTAAGTGGTTGGTATTGAACAGAGGAAGATGGAGAGCGAGGAGGGGCAGCAGCAATTCCCTGAAAATGCTGGGAATTGCTCTGCTAAGAGGAAATTCTGTGCCCTGGAGCTGCTTTTGGAGTGAGAGGAACTCGGTGGGTGTTGGAAGGAGCGGTGCTGGTGCTGGAGCATCCTCCTCTTCCTCCTCCTCCTCCTCCAAATCCTCCTCCTCCTCCTCCTCCTCCTCCTCCTCCTGCAGGCTTTTGTTTGCCATTGATCCGTGGGGGCCCTGAGAGCTGCCAGGGCTTCCCGGCTGCATCCTGAAATATTGATGAGGCTCCTGGCAGAGCAGCTCCCTGCCCAGGGAAGGTTTAACATCCACCCCCAACAGAATCCCGGGGTTGTTTTGGAGGTGAGAGGAGTGGAAAGCTCCAGCTCCAGCTGGGATTCAAACCAGGGCGTGGAATGAGTGGAAGAAGTTGGGAAGGAAGAGGAGGTTGTAGGATCAAGCCATAACCAGGGAATTGATTTCACAGACAGGAGTTTGGCCCAGCCAGAGATCCAGTGGATTCTCTCTGGGAATGTTCCTACCCTTCTGCAGGACTTAAAAAACCTGTCTGGAAGGGTAGGATGGAAGTTTATCTCCATCTGATTGATAAGATAAAGGAGATAGTTTGACATCTCCCCATCCCTGGGAGTGTCCAAGGCCGGGTTTGGAAGGACCTGGGATAGTGGAAGGTGTCCCCATGGTAGGAAGGAGATGATCTTTAACTCATTTCCATGATTTCTATGAAAATTTCTGGAGGTCAGGCAAGATGTTTCATTCCTGATTTTAACCATTAAGTGTTAATTACTCTCTGGGGGACTCTCTGGGACTGGGACAAGGCCTTGGCTGTTCTTTTCCTGTCCCCAGAGCAGATTTTCCTGCTGGAAACACTCGCGGGAGCACAAAGGGGAACACTGAGAGGAGCCCACCCCGAGCCCTGCCCTTCTCCATCCCCCCAACCATCCCAAAAATCCAATCCCTGCTCTCCAGACAACCAGAGGGGGCCGTGTTGAGGGTTGGGGTGAGCCAGGATCCGTGCTGGGAGCCCGGGCAGGGCTTTAGGGTCTGACGTGGGCAGGGGGGGATTAACGAGCTCCCTGCTTTCGCAAGCCCCGGGAAGGAGGCGTCAGCACCCGAGCGGATAAAGGAGCCTCCAGCGGTGTTTGGGGTGACAGTGCCACACAGAACTGCTGCTCCAGGTGGTGATTTCGGTGTGGGAAGAGGTTTAAATGCTGGAAAAAGCTTCGATTCTGAGCCAGGCTGAAGTGGGAAGCTGTGCCCACTCTGGGGAGTGGGGATGAGGAATGGGAGCGCTCCTCTCGCTCCTCCTGGAGCTGCTGCTTGCAGTTGAAAACACATCCAGGAGGGAAAGGCAGGACTGGGATGCTGTTCCCAGTCCTGGGTGTGTCTCCCAGAGAGCCCCAACACAGATGGGAAAACCCAGGGTTTGGGATCCCTGTCCTGGCTTTGGGATTCCTCGGGATGGGGAGGTGCAGCACCAAGCCACTGGGAGCTGGTGGCTTTGCTCACACGAGGAAAATATGAATAAATTTAATGGGGGGAGGCGTAGGGGCTGCAAATGTCACCTCATAAAAAAGCAGAATTTTATGTTTTTTCCTGTTGGATCTCCTTTTTTAGGGAAGATGGAGCCAAATGAGTCGCTAGCAGCTTGGCAAAGTGCAGATCAGCATGTTTGCATCCAGGAGGACAGGAAGGAAAGAGTCAAGCTTTTTGTAGGGCCTCCTCCCTGGTGGGAACAGAATTTTTTTATGAAGGTTTACCCTGAAACAGGTAGGATTTAATCCCAATCTGAAGGCAAGGTGAGGAAAAAAATCATTTTTTCAGGTGTGTTTCAGAGGAGAGGGTGGAAGAGATGTCAGTGGCAGCCAGCAAGGAGAGCAGAAGAGAGAATTCCTGGGTTTGCTGAGCAGCTCCAGGAACAGGGAGAGGTGATCCCTAGAGGACAAATTGCTGTGTACCAGTGAATAATTATCAGCAACGGAGCTGTTGGGCTCTGAGTGAAATAACTTGGCATGAAAATCAGTGAAAAGGAGCTCAGTCTGTGTTGGGTCGGGGTCTCGAGCGACAGGACCAGAGGAAACAGCCTCAGATTGCATCAGGGGAGGTTTAGGATATTAGGAAAAAAAATTCCTCATGGGAAGGCAGTGAAATTCCTGACTTGTCAGGCATTGGGACAAGGCAGGGCAGTCCCCATCCCTGGGGGGGCATTTCAAATCCATGTGGATGTGGCACTTTGGGGACATGGGGTGGGGACAGGAGGAGAGGGAACGGCCTCAGGATGGGCCAGAGGAGCCTCAGGGTGGATTTTAGGGAAAATTCCTCCATGGAAAGGGGGGGTCAGGCACTGGAAATGCCCAGGGCAGGGGGAAGTGCCCATTCCTGGAGGGATTTCCAAGCCCTGTGGATGTGACACGTGGGGATGTGGGGCAGTGATGGCCTTGGCAGTGCTGGGGAATGGCTGGACTCGACCTGCAAAGTGTTTTCCAACCTTAATAATTCCCTGATTCCCAGGACTCTCACTCCCCTGCGTGTGCCCTGTAGAGAGGAAATCCCTCTCTACATCCCTGGGCCTGACCAGGAATTCCCCAGTGGGGAATTTTGGGACACCAACCACAGCTCCTATTCCACCACCCAGCTCATTCCCAGAGCTGAAATATCCCCCCAGCCCGTGCAGAGCTGCTGTTTTCAGCGAGCCCTGCCCTCCCTGGCACACCTTGCCCTGCCCTTTGAAGCCTCCCCATGGCGTTTGCCCGTCCCGGCCGATTCCCGGCGCTAATCCCGGTGACGCGGGGCTGGCACGGCTTTGCTCTGACATCCTGGCCCTGCTGGTGAGGCGGCTGCTGCTGCTGATCAGGATTTGTCTGCCCACCAACCGGGCTTAAAAATAGTCCCTCCTGTCCCACATCCGTGGCCACAGCTTCCCCGGATCCCGTTCCAGGTGTGGGATGGAACCAGCACAACCCAGCAGGGGCTGGAACGGGAATTCTTTGGGTTTCCTTGTTGAGTCCCTAGATGGGAACACAGAATGGTCATTTCTAGGGACAGTTTGGCCTTTTGGGGTAGAAAAACCTCATTTTATTGTCTTTATTTAGCCTGGAGAAGAGGAGGCTCCATGGAGACCTTACAGCAGCATTCCGGTGTGGAATGGGGACTTACAGGAATGACTTCCCACTGTCAGGGGCAGGTTCAGATGGGATTTTGGGAAGGAATTCCTGGCTGGGAGGGTGGGCAGGCCCTGGCACAGGGTGCCCAGAGCAGCTGTGGCTGCCCCATGATCCCTGGAAGTGTCCAAGGCCAGGCTGGACAGGGCTTGGAGCAGCCTGGGATAGCGGGAGGTGTCTCTGCCCATGGGAAAGGGTTGGAGCAGGATCTTTAGGATCCCTTCCAGCCCAAACCACTCCGTGATTCTTGGGGGGAAAAAAATTTTGGTGTGATGAGCACTTGAGATGTTCCAAGGCCTCTCTCCTCTTCACAAAGGCCTGAGGAGCACAAGGAGCCTCCTGGGTGGTTTTGTTCTCTATCCAAGTCCCACGTGGGGTCTCCAGGCTGCTCTTCAGCTCCAACCCTGCCTTGGAGAGCACAGAGGGAGGAGGAGGCAGCACCCTGGGCAGGCACCAGGAGCACCCTAGCCCCTGATCTTGCTCCTAAAATCCAGCAGCCGTTTTCCTGCTCAGCGTGTCCGTGACAGACTTCCCAATATCCCAAAAGAAAACCTGGGACAGGGAAAAGATAAATCCCTGGGGCAGGGAAAAACAAGTCCCTGGGGCAGGGAAAAAGAAATCCCTGGGGCAGGGAGAAAAAGAAATCCCTGGGGCAGAGAAAAACAAGTCCCTGGGGCAGGGAAAAGATAAATCCCTGGGGTAGGGAAAAAGAAATCTCTGGGGCAGGGAGAAAAAGAAATCCCTGGGGCAGGGAGAAAAAGAAATCCCTGGGGCAGGGAGAAAAAGAAATCCCTGGGGCAGGGGAAAAGAAATCCCTGGGGCAGGGAAAAGAGAAATCCCTGGGGTAGGGAAAAATAAATCCCTGGGGTAGGGAAAAAACCAATCCCTGGGGCAGGGAGCCACCTCCAAGGCTTTTCCTTGGAAAGCTCCATCACTTCCATCATTTCTCCCAGCCCTGCTGCTCTCAGGGCAGCTCCCACCCCCTGAACCATCCAAGTCTCCTGGCTTCTCCCTGACCTCACAGCATCTCCAGCACCTCCCGTGCCCTCCCCTCCCCTGGTGAGTTTTGACATCCATTCCTGAGAGCCTCGCAGGCTCCCCAGCTGTCACAGCCCAGGCTGGCCCGCTTTAAGCACAGACCATTTACCTTCCACGTGTCCCGAATTAGGGGAAACGGACAGGAGGGCTGGGTCTGTTTAAAAATTAAAGCTGATTACAGGGCATTAACATTACATTTAAAGGAATAGACAGCAGCCCTCCTCTCTCAGCACAGTTGCAATATGTTCCCTTTTGTTCTGGGCTGCAAGAGGGAAGCGAGCAGGACTGCTGGCGACTCCAGGCTGGGCAGGATTTCTTCTTCAGCCACATGAATTTTGAAAGAGGAGCTGCCTGTTGGCTGGTGCAAGAATTTAAAGCAGGCCTGGCTTTAAAACTTAAAACTTTAGAACTTAAAGCAGTTCCCATCTTTGCCATGCTAACAGGAAGCTGAAATTCTTCTGGCTAATCCTGAATTTCCCTTGGGGAATTCAGGTGATCTGACACTGTCTTCTGAGTTGTGGTCTTGGGAAGTTTTGTATTTGACAGATCCCGGTAGTTTTCTGTGAAATCCCACAATTTACACGGTGACTCTGTCCCAAAAGCAGGAATTAGTCGGTCTGGCTGGGAACAGTCTGAATGTGATGCTCAACTGGGATTCCCCATGGGTTTAGGTTGGGTTTGAAGCCCGTTTTTTGGGGGGTTTGTGTGATATTTGTCCAGGCTTCACCTTCATCTCACAGCCCCTCAGGGATTGAGGTGGCTCCAGAAGGAGCTGCTCAGTGCAGGATGGTGCTGAAAAGAGGCCTTTTGGCAGGTGAAGGGATGTGTTGGTATTCCCTGGATCCTGCTTTGCTGGGTCTTCAAGAAACCAAAGCTCCAGGGAGAGCTTCCAGCACATTCCAGGGCCTGGAGGGGCTCCAGGAGAGCTGGAGACGGACTGGGGACAAGACCTGGAGGGACAGGACACAGGGAATGGATTCCCACTGCCAGAGGGCAGGGATGGATGGGATCTGGGGAAGGAATTCCTGTCTGGGCTGGAATTCCCAGAGCAGCCCCAAATCCCTGGAATGTCCAAGGCCAGGCTGGAGCAGCCTGGGATGGTGGGAGGTGTCCCTGCCATGGCAGGGGTGGGACTGGAGGACCTTGAAAGGTCCCTTCCCTCCCAAAACCATTCCATGTTTCTGTGATCTCTTAATGCCTTTTCATTTGGCTTCACCACCACCAACATTCACCTTAATTTAAAAAAAAGGGGGTTTTCTTTTCAGTTTATGGAGATGAAATCCCCAGCTTGGCTTTGAGAGTCACATCCTGAGCTCTCCTGGTCCCCTCTGGGTGTCTGGAGCTGTCAGGACACGTGGCTCTGTGATCACAACAAATTTTTGGGGGTGTCTGCTGTAAATGGCTATTTTAATCCTTGGATGAGCTCCTGTCTGAAAGAGATGTGGTTGAATCCAGGCAGGAAAGGAATGGCAACCTTAGAGTTGGCATCTTCTCCTAAATACATCTGGAATTATTTCCTTGTTTGCCACTGTTTCCAGTCCAGGAAAGGGGATGGGAAGGATGGAGGGGTTTTTGAGGGGAGTCTGCAAGCAGATCCCGCCAGTGCCACCCTCTGGGATCGGTGTTTTGGCTCCAGGATGGGACAGGGAATTGTTCTCCTGCCCAGCTGGGGTCAGAAATCCAGCTCTGCCCTGCCAAGTCCTTTTTCCAGCTCTTCTCTTCCTCCTCCACACTCAGCCTCACCCAGACCAGAGGTCTGGCAGAGCTTGGCCAAAGCAGATCTCCTTCAGGGGGTCCAGCCAGGAAGGTTCTGGAAGGGCCACAGGCACCAGCAGCCTGGGGAGAGCAGCTTGGTGCCATTTCTGCTGGACACATCAGTGCTGGGTGTGGAGCCAAGGTGGATGAAGCCAAAATCGAAACCAGCTCTGCTCTGCTGCTCCTTTCTCCCAGGATAAATCCCCCGTGTGCTGGATTCTCCCTGTAGTAACAACTCATTCCAAACTACCTGGAGCACGTGGCAGCCCCACCTGGGCTTTTTGAGCCCATCTCTGGCAGATCTTCCAGTTTAACAGCAGAGGTCTCGGGACAGTTTGATGCTGCTGGCACCATCTCTGCTGATTCTGCTCCTCCAGGAAAGCCCAAAGAGAGATCCCAGCTCTGCCTCCTTCTCAGCTGCTTCCCAGAGCGGAGCTGAATTCGTGCCTGGCGTTCAGGGCACTTCCTTCAGCTGATGCCAACTGACCCTCCACTGCCCAGGGCTGAGGATGGGCAGTGTCCCCACAGCTGGGCAGCAGCTGGAGCATCTCCCAGTGCAGATTTTGACAGATTTTGGCAGATTTTGGCTCTCAAGACCTCCTCCCGCGGTGGGAAAGGACAGTTCTGCACCAGAGGCAAGGCTGGGGATGTCTCTGCTGTTCCTGCCTGAGCTGTGCCACTTCTGCCCAAGGAATTCACTGCCTGTGGTTCCCCCCAGCCAGGGCAGATGGTTCAGGGTTACAGGTGCCCTGCTGGGCTGGGTCAGGCCAGCCTCTCTCCACTGCAGAGCCGAAAATGTCAGAGCTGCGTTGGGAATGGATGGAGGCTCCTCTGACCCGAGGGCACTTTGGGAGCTGCGGGGCCCTTAATGGCTGTCAGTGGGTGTAGGGTGCAATCTGATCCAAATGGGAAGCTGGCTGAAATCCCAGCAAGCTGTCGTTGCTTGTGGGAGGCATCTTAGGAAATGAGATGGGCATTGTGAGCTCTCCCCGCCCCACCAGGCAGCCCCAGGGAGGGAGAAATGCCCTGCCTGCAACTCGGGGCTGCTCCCTGCACTGAGGTTTGCTGCCTTTTTCATTTACCAAGCTCGTGGTCTTTTGTTTTTACACCAAAATTTCCTCCTTGTGGTTTCTGTTCTCCTTCGTTGCCTGCTCCCCTGTGGAATGTGCCTTCCCCACTTTCCTGGATGGACTTCTCCAGACTCCAGGTGGCTGCTGGTTTTCTTTGGCCTTGAAAAGTGCTCAGCCCCTCTTTTCTGAGAGCCTCAACTGCTTCCTTAGCAGGGTCTGACCTCCCGAGTTCCTCTCTTGATTTTTATCCCGAGCACATCCAGAGGATCACTCAGTGCCTGGATTTATCCTCCCCATTGGATCTCTGGAGTTGGGTCTGATTTTAAAGCCTAAAAGCACAGCCCCGTTTGTCTTACACCTCTGGGGCGTAATAAAGAGCCCTGTCCTGCAGAAAATGTTTTCCTTGTGCACCAGCCCTGCCCTGGCACAGCGAGATTTTAATGGAGATGGGAGGTTTTAGTGAATCCTCCCACTGAACTTGCACATTTCTCTTTTCCCAAGTGAAGCTCTTTCCTCTTCCTTGGTGTTCAGCCGTTAGATTTGGGGCTGAGGAGGACAATTCCTGCTCTGGGGTTGACTGTGGTGTTATTTGAGGCTTCAGCAGGAGCCTGAGGAGATGCAGCCGCACCTCAGTGTCCCTTGGCTGGGTGGTTTTCTCCGGAACATTGGTGGGCACCCGAGGAAGAGAAGGGAAATTTGTCACCTTAAGGACTTTGCTTGGAGCCTGGAGAGCAGCAGGCTCAGCACCTGGGATATCCCTGCTGTGTCCTGGAGTCCAGTGAGAGCTGAGCAGAGGTAAAACCACCTCCCCTTGCCCTGTGACCAGCGGGAACGCTCAGCCCGGTGTCCCTTTGGGAAGGGACGGAGGAGGGCGGTGTGTCTGTCCCTGCAGGCCCCTGTCTCCCAGTGACCTTCTCAGCTCACGGAGACAGCTTGGCTTTGCTGTAAAGCAGCTCATGTGACAGCAGTAATCCGCAGAGGGTAAACAGCTGTGCAGGAAGATTCCAGGGAATCGCCCTATTTTCCCTTCTCCCCACAGCCCGGCCGCCACACCGGGCCAGGAGGGTGGCAGAGGCTGCTCCATCCCCACTGGGTGTCCCTGAAAAGCCAGCTCAGGAGCACAAACTTCCAGGATTCCTCCTGGCAGTCCAGGCCAGGTCCCAAGAATTTTAGAAAAGCCATTCCTCCTCCAGTGGTTTCCTCTGAATCTTTTCCCAAACTACGAGTTTGGATTTTTAAGCCTGAATTTGACTCCTGTCTCCCACCCACCCTCTGTATCTTTTGGCATCATTTATTCCCTCAGAGTTTACAAATTCCTCTCTCTGGGTAGCATTTTCTGATGGCTCATGGGGACCCTCTTCTGCTCCTGGGATACTCAATGGACTTTTTGCCCATGAGAAGTTCAGTTCTGCCCTGGAGAAGATTCTGGGGACTGAGGGAGCACTAGCTTGGAATTGATTTCAAATTAATCATGGGTTTATTATTCCCATCCCCAGCTTACAGCAAACTTCCTTTCCCCTCTGGGTTTGCCACAGATCCCTGAACTTCCCCATCTCCGTTTTCCCTGTGATTTTAACCTTCCACACCTCCCAGGGGAAGTTCAGTGAGTGTGTTCTGAGTCCCAAGGAGCTGATGGCAGCTAAACCAGCTGGTTTTAGCCCGAGATCCAGGTTCCTGCATCCCCCACAGGCAGCAATTCCCCTCAGTTCCCTGCAGGAATGAGGTGCCTGGGATCAGGTAAGGTGGAATCCCTGAGTTGCTCAATCAGGAACCACCAGCAGGGCGTTTGTGGCTGCGATAAATTGTCCACCGGTGGCCTGAGACAATCCCTTATTTCATGTAAGCCACAGCCCAGCCCTCAGGAGGGACCATCTGTTCCTCTGGCCTAGGACAGATTTGAGCACGAGCCCTCGCAGTGAAAGGCTCTCTGCTATTCCCCTGAGCCGCCTGATCTCTTCCCACTGAAGGAAAAAACCCCCAAAAACCCCAAAGCTTTGTGCTCCCGAGCGTTAGGGGGGCTCTAATTGGTGTGCAAATTGGGACTGCTGCGTTTAAGTGGTGGACATGGAGCTAATGGAAGTGGAATTTTATTGCTGGCATAAACAGGGGATGTTCAGCTCCTTTGAAGTGGCAGGGATCAGCAGCTGGGAGGGGTTTCTGTTCGATCAGAGCCAGGAGTGAGTTTGGTCTCTGGTTTTTCCCTTTGCTCTGACCCATGGATGAGTTAGGATGTCCTTCTCAGAGGTTCCTGCTGCGTTTTCCTTGCCAAAAAAAACCACAAACAAATAGAAAGTTTGAGTTGCACTTCTTCCAGATAGGAATGACGTATTAAGAGGTTTGAAATCCAGCAGAAAATTCAGATTTGGACTCAGCTGGGTTTTAGGTTTCTCTGTGTGTGTGTGTGTGTGTGTGCTACTGCTGGAGATGTGTTTCCTCACCTGTGGGCCTCCCATCTGAGTCAGAGCAGTGGGAATCATCCCAGCAAATGAAAACCAGAAAGAATTCTCCAGCCACTACCACAGCCCTGTCGTTTTTCCAACCTGCTCTGCCTGGGAAGGGACAGGAGGACAGGCTCTTGCACCGCTTGATTCTCCTCACAAATTTTGCCTGTGCGGGTCCATGTGTCACAAATCTCCACTCTGCTCATCCAGGCTGAGACCCACAGGGACAAAACAGCGGGAAATCTCATTTTTGGGATAACAAACTCATCCCTCTCCCCGTACCCATCGTCGTTTTCTCTTGGTGTGCAAAGGACTCTTCCAACCCCCTGGCCTGGATGGTCGGGGCACAAAAATTCTGTGTCTTCAGCCAGGCCAGAGCCCAAACTTTGGTGTTTTTTTTAGCAACACAGATGTGCAGAGTTTAAAAGGGAAGAATCTGCCAGAGGCAACAGCATTCCAAGGATAAATACTCTCAGGAGAGCAGGGTAGGGAACCCATCCCACCTGCCAGGCGGTGGGGAGACGGTGGTGTACAAAAAAAGGAGGAATGTGGACTGTAAAAACTTGCTTTTTTACATGCAAAGTTCCACATCTGAGTCGTGTGTTGGCTGTGATTTATTGCTTACCTCGCTGAGGATGGGTCAGGTCCTACCTGGAGGGGAAACTGTGCCCAACGTGTCCCTGTGAAGGACACCAAAGCCTGGACACTGCTGCAGGAGGGGATGTGCTGCTTTGGGATGCTTTTCTAGCTGGATTTGGAAGCTGTGCATTGATGAAAAGGGAAAAAAAGGAGCCTTTGGGTGCATTTCCAGCCCCTTTTCCCCTGAGGAAAAAAGCCAAACTTACCTGCTGGGCAGGGCCTAGTGCGAGGTGAGGCTCCAGCTGCAGCTCACCGTGTCAAGGTAAAGCTTAAAACGCCTTCCCAAGGAATTTTCCTCCTCCAAAGGCTCTGTTGGGGGGCTGATGCCACATCTCCTGGGTTAAGAGCACCGAATTCCCTGGCACAGAGGCACCGATGGGGCACTGGAGGGGGAGAACCCGCGGCGCTGGACCCGCTGCCCGGCCATGAATGTGCACCCTGTTGTGGCAGGGAAAGCTCCTTGGGAGCAAATCAGCAAAAAAATGCTGGGAAAATGGCTTTTAGATGGAGCCAGGGCCTATCTGGTTACAGATTGCCTTTCTGCCAGCACAATGGCTGCTTTATGTCTCCGTGTGCTCCGTAGGATGGGCCCGTGTCCGTGCTCGCGTGTGATCCGTCGGGACCGGCCCAGCCAAAACCAGCCGGGCCCTCGGAGCCTTAAAATCACCTGGAGCTCCTCCCAGGCCCCAAGGAGTGCCTGGATTTCATGAACTCCCCAGCTTTGTGCTCATGGGATATGTAGGAATTCCACTTTGGCGCTTTCTGCTCCTCGTTCGTCTCTCATCCCTCTGCGCCGGAGGGGTTTTACTGGAGGTGGCCTGAGCTTCTCCGTGATGGATTTCACTGCTTCGCTTCCTTGTTGGGCCTCTCTGGGCCAATTAAACCATCTGAACCATCTAAATGTTTGTAAAATATCTGGCAGAGGTATTCTTACCTCCCTACTCTGCACAATGTTCTGGGTGGAATTAGAAATATTTCAGTTGCTCTGCCTAATATTGGGGTGCGACTCCTGTGTGGGCACTGAATTTCTGCACTTGCCCGGTAAACCAAAGGACGCATTTCCTATGAATCCATTAATCACCCCACTAAATCCCCCTCTCCAGCTGCAGTATTTCCCCTTTTCTCAGCCTTTTGCACTTGCATTTCATTGTCAGGCATCCTAGCAGCAGACTATTCATGTTGCAAGTGGACCGTGGCAGAGGGTTCGTCAGGTGAGTGGAATTTTGTGGCAATAGTTTGGAATGTTGGGATTTAGCTGATTTTGCTCTGTCCCTCTTGCTGTTTCTCATGGTTAAAGGGGGTGGTTTTTTGTGCCTGGACACCGTTTGGGGTTGCGATGCCTTTGGGGTTGTATCACCCAGGTAATTAAATGTTTTCATAATTTTATGTGGTGCCCTGCCGTGCTTCATACTGTAGCCAATAATAAAAACCTATGGAAAATTCAGGACACTAAAAGCTGTTTAAAAAAGCAGAATAAAAATCAGTCTCTTCCTCTGGGAGACCCCCTGGGGAATTTTGGGCAGTCAGCAAAATATTTATGGCAAAATCTACCAGGAGATCCCTTTTAGGTGATTGTTCAGAATCTCCTCGGTGGTTGATTCCTGATTCCTGAGAAGAGGAACAGACTCATTTATCCTCAGGGGTTTCCTCTCTCCTCTTCCTGAGAAGCTTGGCACAGATAACCCCTGTCAGCCCCATGGTTTGTGTCAACACCCTGCAGATCGTGGGGAAAGCAAAGCCCGGCCGGAGCAGAACCTTTCTCTATTTTTATCTGCATTTCGTGTAGAGATGATTGACCACGAGAGACTTCTAATCTTCTCAAGGTGTGTCCACGCCAAAGCCAGCTCATCAGCCAGGCTTAGACAGGTTATTCTCTAAGCTTCCAGCCCTGGAGCCCAGGAAAAACCTTCCTTCCCACAGGTGGAGACATTCCCGGTGTTTGTCACCTCTCCTAAGTGACAAATGGACTCCAGCTGAAGGTGCCACGCCCTGGAGACCCAGCACTAGAGGGGCAGGTCTTGGTGAGGACTGAGTTTAATCAGGGACAGCTTAATTCTGCCTCAGGTGATGCCCAGGGCCTGTTTTCTATCTCTAAATTCGCCCCATGAAGGGGAGAGGGGGGACAGATGGCCTCAGGAAAGACAAAGCAAAAGGTGTGGAGCTTAATCCACCCCCAGGAGATCAAACTGCTGTTCTGCTTTTCCCAAGCACCCTTTTCTTGGGAGTTTTTCCATCAAGAAAAACCCCGGAAAACCTGGGATTTCGGATTGTTTCCAATGTTAAACGTCACTGCAAGTTGGTTTTTTTTCCTTCTGGCACTGTCCTCGCTGCAAGGAGGAGCTGGTGTCACCAGTGAAGGACTGGTTTGTCACCACTGCTGCAGGCTATGGGTCTTTGCTGTGCCAGGGAAGAGTTTGAGCATCAGGTTGGGATCTGCCTTTTTCCATGGAAGTGCTGAGGCTCCAGAGGAGAAAATTCCTGTAAATCAGGAGTTCCAGCCCCGTGGGTTTTGTCTCAAAGTGCGGCGACCTTAAAAGAAGTCAAAAAACTCCCTAAACATCCAAAAGAAACCCCCAAAAACTCAAAAAGATCTGGAAGAAATAAGAGAAGGTGAATCAAAGACGTTTCAGGTCATGGCCCTTCCCTCCTCACAGGGAGGAAGAAAACAGGAATGTCCCAAAGGTGCTCCCAGCTAGGAAAGGAAGGTTGGTCCCTGACCAAGATTTGGAGATAAACCTCGAGTCTGGATGTTCGGATTTTACTTAAAACAACACCTTGTTGCAAAATACCAGAGTTCTGCTGAAGAATGAGCCGTGTAAGTGTGGTGTTGCTCCCTGACCGGTTCCATTCCAGTCCCAGTGTCCAGCGGGACACCCCGGATCAACCAGCAGCTTTATGGGGTCACTGAGGCAGCAACTCCTGAATGAGCAGAGAAGGAAAACCCCTTGCAAGAGATCCAGAGGAAGCAAAGAATCCTAAAGTGGATCAGTCAGGTTGGAGATCTCCGAGGTCATCGAGTCCCAGCCTGTGCCTGATCCCGATTTTGCTGCCCTGAGTGCCATGTCCAGGCATTCCTTGAAAAGCTCAGGAAGGAAGGAATCACTGTCGGTGTTAAGCTGGCAGGTGACCCCCAGGGACAGTCTGAGAGATGAGATGTGACCGTGGAGGTGTGGTGGATGCGGGGAAGGAGGCGGTGACTCCAGGGGCAGCTGGGAATCGTGGATTCCCAGAGATCCCTGGGAATGTTGGATCTCATCTCCTGCATTTCTCTTCCGTTCTAAGGAAGAGTCAGGGCTATGATGTCACTTCATTGACTCAACTTTGATATCAGCTTCAGGTGCCTCATTAAATTGTTCTTTATTGGGGTTTTGACCAGAGTAGCTCCTAAAAAAGCAGATGAAGGAGGATCTTGAATGAGGACTGCAGCCTTTTGAAATTTGGTGGGAAAACCTTCACGTTTTGGTCTGACTGGCACAGAGGTTCTATAAGGAGGATCTGACACTTGTGAGCCTGGAAAGTTCTCAGAGCTTAAATCACTGCGTGGGGGTTTTGTGATTTGTCAATATCACAGAATCCAGCCTGGGCTGGAAGGGACCAGAGATCATCCTGTGCCAGCCACACCTTCCACTCTCCCTGGTTGCTCCAAACCCCATCCAACCTGGCCTTGGACACCTCCAGGGATGGGGCACTGAGCCATTTCTGATGGGAAAAATCCTTCCAGTTATCATCCTAAAAGATGTCAGAGTTAACCATTGGTGCTCTTGCAGCTGAGGTGGTGAAAGATGGAGGGCTGAGCTTTCATCTTATCTTTAACCATGTTACCATCTTGGGTTCAGTTCAGGATTTGTCTGGGTAACCCCTGACTCTGAGAGCTCTCATTTCAGCTGCTGTGGCTGGAACCCGTTAGAAACCTGGTTTATCTCCCTGAAAATACACCCTCATGCTCACTGATTGTCCCCTTCCTCCACCTCTTGAAGGCCCCTCAAGTCACTTCCCCAGAAGGGAGGTGGTCAAAAGGAGATTTTTTTTTTTAAATCTTTACAAACCAAGTTCCCAGTCAAAGGAAACATCCAATAAACATCAGCTGTGGGACGTTTTAATGTTTGTGCTGAGCAGTGTTAGCAGTTGTGTTCACAATCGCAGTTGGTGAGGACAGGAATGGGTTTTGTTCCAAGATTCTGTAGGACCAGCCCCTTTCCTGAGCCAGCCTCGGTTTTACCTCCTCTAAAACACCTCCAGTGATGGAAACATCGCTCCAGAGCTTCACCAACTTTATGTTTAGCTGTCATCTGGGGTTTTTCCCACCTCCTAAGTGCAGGTTTCTATGCTGTACCTCAAGCACATGTCTAACTGGGGAAAACATCATCAGAAAAGATGATTATTCCCTACTTACCTGCATCAGCCTTGATGTATTTACACCTGGGAATTCAGACCAAAGCACTGCTGGTGCCCTTTCCTTGTGCTGCCCACTGAGGACAAGCGTTTCATTTTTTGGAGGTCCTCTGGCTTGACTTTTTTTTCTTTTTTAATTTTTTTTTAAATTTTTTTTTTGTTTTAAAATCCACTCATTCTGAACCGTTGACGAGAATTCTTCCATCCCATCTCCAAAAGTCGCCCTCGGCTCTGAAAGGAGCGTGGTGATGAGATGATATCTGCTGCCCTGTGTGCTAGGGCCTTGTAGTGCATTCCTGAGCACAGGAATTTCGGCTGGATTCCTCAGCCCCTGCCTCCAGAGGAGGGGAAGGAGAAGACACAGGAATATCTATCACCAAAAGCTTCGGCAGAACGATGCTGAGCACAGTTTGCTCTGATTTCCCCCCCGTGTTGATGGAAACAAAGTCCTCTGAATGAGCTGGACAGCCAAGAAAATCCAGAGGAAAATTCCACTCTTTTTATCCTTTTCCATTTGGTGCTGAACCAGGGAGGGACTTTGTGAGGTCACCGACTCCTGACCCTGCAGTGCTCACAGCTGGCGGCGCTTGCACTTTTGGTGTCGAGGAGAATAGAGCAAGAAGAGTCAACCTTGGCTTCCCCAACAGCAGCACCAGCTTTTGGAGGGGACCTGCAGCTCTCACTCGAGGTTCTGGGGTTTCATCAGATGATGTTGCCTTGCTACCAACCCAACAATGCCCTCAGAGGGGCTCCAAGGTGATCCCTCAAGTCATTGTGCACTTTCCCGTAAAAAGTTTTTTCCCCAAAACTTTTTTTCCCCAAAAAAGTTTCTTTTTTGTCTCATAAAAGGATTCCCAAGAGCAATAATTCTCACCTCAGACTCCTGTCCTCCTCCATGGCCAGCAGTGTTTCTTGTGACATCACAACCCGTAGAGCCGTGAACTCCCCTTGGGTAACGGCTCCGCTCTTGGCTTCTTCCCTCAAGCACTTTTTAATCTGTTTTTTGATTCTGCTGCACTTCTCACACCTTGATTTCTCGATCTCTTCTGAGCTGAGCTCTTTCAGAATACTCTCTCATGGGCAGTTCTGTTTATCTCAGTTCTTTGGGTCAGGAAGAAAACTCCAGAGCTCGTTAGGATCTTGTTTCTCGTGTTTATTAGGATGTTATCACAAAACTTGGCAGATCTCTCCAGACTTTTTGTACAAGTTTAATTTATCCTGGCTCTTTGGCTCTGATGGCACAAAATGGCCCCGAACCACGCAGCTGTTTCTTCTTTATACTTATTTTTATCCAATTAACAATAGACACTTTAATTATTTTTCTTAATGACCCAATGACCCATCACCTTTGTGCTGCACTGCAGCATTTTTTATCCAATCACTTACTACTACAAAAAAACCTCAAGAAGAAGAAAATTAAGAAGAAATAAAGAAAAGAGACAACATTCTAAATCCTCCTATCTTGTTTTCTATTTTTTAAACTATTTTAAACTCTAACTTTTTCACTCAGTGACTTAAGAAAACTCTAATTTACACACTCACACTTTTAGCTTTTCTATCTCACTTTAACAGTTGTTTTCGTGTAACACCATGAAAACACACCCATAAATTTCACATTAGATGAAATTCAGTGTTCTCCTGGATCTCAGACATCAGAGACGAGGGCTCACACCCTGTGTCTCAGCCTCCAGCACACGGGGGTGTTGAGAAGGTTCACATCATCTCCCCTTCTTGCTGGTGTCAGCCTGGCTCGGTGGCGCGGGGCTGGGCATCGCCCGGCACTCGTGGACATCAGGAATGGGAATGGTTGTTTTCCAC